TATTTAGGCTAAGATAGATTTTTGTTTTTTTCAAATAAAATAAGAACTGAATATCTGCTGCATGCTGAAGCAGAATTTGATTCTTTTTAGATCCATTTATTCAGAAAATTAAGCTAGCTGTGTTGGGAATGGTGAAAAATTTTTAATAATAGGTTTCTAGCTGTAGTTAGAATAGTTACCATCAAAACATAATATTCAAGATCCCCTTTTCTTCAGTTCAGCCCATATAAAATGAATTCATCTTGATCCCTGTTGTCCTGAAGGGCACCTTAGCCTCCTAAAAATCCGATAGCAAGTTCGGGGACTAACATTTGTTTGTGGTTGCTTATGGAGATAAATTCTGTGTGGAATTTTTTCAACTGCCCATTCTTTTCAGTCCGTCATGTTGGATGTAAATTTTTTTCTGGTTGCAGCAAATAATAATGATCAACAGAGCTGCTGCATTACATTTTCAGAAATTAAAACAGTTTTCATGCACCTATACACCATGAATATTCATCTGTCTTAGGAAGAAACATTACAGATTCCGGATATCTCATTTTGTTTGTTTTCAGACTATGAACAGGTATGGCTGGGAATTACAGAAGTTATTGAACAGCCCACTGAGTCTAACCAGTGTACTAAGTCCTGTATAAACACATAGGTAAGAAGGGCCCACAGATTGCCTTAACATATGAGAAGGAAAAAAAGATGTAGTTCAGTCAAGACAGATCATATGTTGTTGTTCAGATATCTTTTTTCTTTTAAAATATCTCAGTGTAGAAGAAATGCAGGACAAAAGGAGCCATAAAATTAAAACTTGGAGCACATGAAAAGCAGTGGCAAAGGAAGCAATCACTGCATGAAGGCTGACTGCGTAGGTGAACCAGTGCATGTAACCTAGACAAGTCAGACTGAAGGTGCCTATTTTAGTTAGATGTGTGTTTGAATGTGGAGTCAAAGCTCATAGGCTACTGGAGAAACTTTTCCATGGTGTTCTGCTTTTATGTCCAACTTTGTTGATGGTAACCTATGATGTAGTCTAGTAAAGCAGGTCTATAAAAAATTAATGTCTTGTGCCAGCACATTGCAAATACATTTGTCAACCTTTCTTCCCCCTTCCCCTCATTTGTTCTGTAGAAGCAAAGGAAGAAAGGAGTTGGCAAAGGTTTGTGACTCATCATTTTGGGAATGTCAACCCCAATGTGCTTAGGTGCTTTGGAAGCAGGAAGAAGAAATCCCTGCCCTGAGTAGTGTCCATCTGCTATGGACAAGAGGCCAGTGCATTGACAAGTCAATCAGGGTAGCACTAGGTGCTTAAATGCTTACTTGGGGCTTTCTGTTTCAATTGAGATTTTTTTAATACATGTTTTGGGAAAGGGATGTGGTGTGGGTAATGGAAGTGATAAGCAGCGTTTGCCAGGATTGAAGTAAGAAACACATCAGAATATATAAGAAAAGTTGTCAAAAGCAGAATGGGAGTGAGTGACTTGAACAATTGGCCGATTTCAAAGTACATGGTGAGGTATTGTGCTGGTTTGAAAAGCAAACCGGTGAGAGACTCTGAGTCAGAAGTACAATTTAATATGAACAACACAACAAAACAACACAAATGCAACAGTAAAAAAAAAAGTAACCTGGCAGAGTCAGAAAATAACCTGACACCCTGTCAGTCAGGGTGTAGTTGTAGTAGTAGCCCGATTAAATGGTGGCTGCAGTCCTCCTGGAGTGATGGGTTTGTTGGAGCAGTGATCCCGCAGATCCGGTTCTCTCCTGAAGGTCCAGCAGCAGCTCCTGTCCTCTGGGAATCCAGCAGGCAAAGGGCTCCCTGTGCTGGTCCAAACCCCAGCTTATATCCCTGTGAGCACGTTTGGCTCCCCACCCCTGGGGTGAGTCACCTCACAATGGGACAAGGGATAAGGATCACTGGGAGGATGTGCCATGCATGGGTCCTTGACGGCCCGTTAATCAGAGACAGCCCCTGAGGGAGCTATCAGGATTGCCCTGAGGGAGGGACAAGGTGATAACGATCACTGCCCCACCTGCTTTAACAGCTTGTGGAGATATCCCCCACACTGCAACCCAGGACAGGTATAAAACTAGTGAATGCTGTTGAAGTTTTGTTGCTTCTGAATCAGATGAAGTTTGCCAAGCAAAGCCTGGATTCCAGGGAGATGAAAGTAGTTATAGGGTAATAAAAAAAATTGAAACAAAACCTGTCAAGAATAACAATGACCATATTGTTGATCTCCTAAAGAATGCCTATTGCTGCTAAAGCTAAAGGTCCAACTAGATACTGCTCTTAAGTATTGTAAATATAGGTTTAGCTTCTGTTAAGCATTTGAAGATAAAAGTTCATTTTCTTGCAGGTAAATGGAAAGGAATCAAAAAAGTCAATAATGTGAATGGGAGAAACACTCAAACCTAGGTTATTTAGAGCTGATTCAGTGAAATATTAAGGGCTTCTCCTGTCTACTGCCTTCTAGTCTTTTAACACTTTATTAATTCTATTTTCTTAACAGTAATCACTATAGACTACATAGTACTCATGAGACATTACAAATCTGAATTTTTCCAGAGATAGAAAAGTGCTACATCTGTATTACAAATTTTACCCAATACTAGAATCATTCCAAGTTAACAGAGTTGTTATAAGTCTGATTAAAGATCAGATTTGTGACTGACTCATAGCAAAACATAGAAAACTATTTACTTAAATATTAATGCATGCACATTCCCTGCCAAAAATACGATGATAATACCAACTTCCCTAGAATGGTGTCACCATGTGTGATTAGCTTTGTGTTTACAAAGGCACTGGAGGATGCAGAGATCTGCCTCTGTAAATCTCACTAAGACTGCAGATGAATAAAATAGTAATTCCCATTGACTTTTGCACTTGACTTCATTTCAGCCTTGTTTAGATCCTCCTGGATTTGTATCTGCATCTTCAAAGTGCTCATTATTTTCACATCTAGATTTGTACAAAAAGTGTAGATTTTGGAAGCTTCAGCTGTAAAGCTGTTATATTGGTTATTGCTGCTGAATGGGGGCTTCTTTCCTCAGCTATGCTCTGAAATGTTTCAATTTCATCAGTTTTGAGATGTATTCCTTCTTTCTGTAAAGTCATAAGTGGTTGTGTCTGGTTAGAGAAGACAAAGAAATCTTACATTAATAGAGTACAGTAAATATAATAAGAGACATAAACAGCATACACAGTATTACTGTTTGTAAACTCCATCCATGGTTTTGCACCCCTGGTGTGTTGCAGAATGAATACAATGCTCTCTGCATCAAAGAATTTCATGTGAAACAAGAAAGGTGAAGCAAAAGAAAGACAAAATAACAAGGAGATGGCACTTGATGATGCCTTCCCTCACTTCCTCCGAGCAGTGATAAAGTGTTGAGAAAATTAGCAGCCCTTTTATCTCAGAAGATTGTGGTGTTGTACTTGGCTGTGAGCTTACTGCATGTATCAGTCTGGCTTGATCAGAGTGGCAAATCCTTTGTGAAAGAGCACAGCTGAGTGTCTTTGAGGGAGGTGAATGCAATTAAACTTGATGGGTCTAATCCAGTGTCTGCTAGAGCATTGAAGAAGAGATTTGGCGATGATATAGCAACTAAACCAAGGTAATTTTTCTCCTGCTACAGTCTAAACTAGTAGTTTTGCCTTATGTCCCAGGGGTTTCTCTGTGTGTTTCTTGGTAGAGGCTTATTTTACTAGATCGTCACCTATTTGGAAAGCTCTTAATTTTTGTTTTTCTATTTAGAATGGTTAGGAGCTGAACTTGTAGTTTATCTCAGCCTGGAAACTGATGCTGATATTGCAGGAAGAGAAGACATCTTGTCTTTGTCTTCATTGGAATACCTTGTTCCAACAGCAGTCATTAGTTGGGGGAGTTTTGCATTCTGTAATGCATCCCCAAATGCATGAGGATTGCTGTTTTGTTTGTCTTATGTGAGAGCTGATAGAGTAAAAATCTCATGTTTTGTCCTCTGCCATGTGTGTTCCCAGCATAACTTAATTCAGTTCTGTTCTGAAGATGCTACATTTCATCATTTGATAGTTACTTTTGATTTTAAAAAAATATTCTGTCTAATGAAACTCCTATGAAGACCTCAGGTCTGATTTTTTTTTATCTTGAATGACTCAAGTAATAAAGACCAAGAAATTCAGTGTGTTCCTGCTCCACTGTTAGAGGAGCAAAACAACACAAAAAGGAGGAAGCCTTCTATAGCATCTCACGGGCACAGCTAAGATTGTTGCACAGGTGGTGTGAAGGAGACTGTGCTTGCCATGGAAGCATGGAAAAGAATGAAAGAAAGTCAGTATAGTGATTGTTGGGGATGAGAACACATCAGTCAGAAAGCTGAAGTTGTGGCCAAGTGAAGGAGTTCAAAAGGACCTTTACCCTTGGCAGGTTAGACGTAAAAGAACAAATGGTAAAAGTGACTTGGAGGAGCAGATACAAGTGTCTAAGTAGGCATGGACTCTTCAGCCTGGTAGAGAGACTCTGGAGGTGAGATACAATAGATATCTGCAAAATCATGAGTGGTACAGAGAGGATTGATAGCCATTGCTTTTTATTAACATTTCTTCCAAAATAAAAATGAGGGGATGTGCAAGGTAACTGAAGTCTGAAAACCAAAGTGGCTCTTTGCATAAGAGGAACCCAGGGACTCCCTTTGGGTTAAAGTTTACATGGATTGAAGGAGTGGCTGGATAAGTTTGTACAAGTGGGACCTTTTAAATGTTGGTAAATACATAGAAACTGCTCGAAATAGCCAGTGCTGAAAATACTGGAAGGCCATGGGATTATTGAGGAGGAATATCTCTCACATGCCAATACACTTTAGCACTGGTGTTGGTGGCTGAACTTGTAGATGAAAGTCGTGACTGGTAGAAAAGTGACTGCTCATCCTATTTTTCCGTAAGGGTCTATTTATTCTGGGAATAACATGTTTGGAATAATGCCCTTGAGCAGCTTAATCAAACAAAAAAGCACCGAAGCAAAAATGTGATGTCTAATGGTTTTGTTTTCATGCTGTCTTCCCAGGAATCTCATGATCATGTTCTTTTGGATATTCCTGTCACTAGAGAGCAGATGAATCACTATTGAACTGCAGCTGAAATTCCTCAAAGTGAACTTGCTGCACTTCTAGTGAAGTATGTTTGTGCCCAGTCAGAGGTACATTTAAAAATACTTTCAAATCCTTCTCCAAACATGAGGATTCTTTACAGTCTCTTTATGAAGAGAATAGAAATCTTGCAGAAAGTCCAAACTTGCTTTTGACACAGAACTTTTGGGTGGTTTTAATATTCTTATTTTGAAAATTTCTGTGCAATTTTTACTTTGCTTTCTTCTGAGATCAGGAACTGACTGCGACTTTATATTTGAAAGATTTGAAGCAGTCTAGTTTTTTATCATCTTCATCATGCAATCTTTTAAAATTAAACCTGAAAGTTAATATTTCTAAATTGTGGTTGTATAAAAGTTCTGATCAATGCAATCCTGTTGTTGCTGGTGAGTTAAGATACAATTGCCCATCTTCACCCATTTCTCTCCTACATTCAAGTCATAGCTCTGCAAATTTACTTTGCTTTCATCACCAGTGAGATTGTGTTTGCAATAATAAGATTAATTGTAACTAGAGAAGCTGAAGAACACATATACATACTTTTCTGCTCTTCCTTGCTGTGTAGATGGTACTTCTCAGGAGAGGATTTATTACAGGGTAATTTTTAGAGTTTCTGTGTTTCCATGCTTTTTTTAAATTTTTTTTTAACATATGGCATTACACTGATCCAATTCAGTAATGTGGGCAGTTTTAAAGTGGAGTCAAATTTGCCTTTAGAAGACATGAAATACTTACATTTATTTACACACATATACAGTATCCAGACAGAACTACAGGGATAAGTGTGAGCTGAGCTTTAATTTGATCAGTTGATCCTGAAATTACTGCAGAGTTCCCCTACATTTTACAGTTATCCAAGATCAGTGCTTTAAATTTCAGTTTTAAAAAGCTATACAGAATCTCATGTTCTTATACAAAGAATTTATTACTGGAAGTGTTGAATGGCTTTATTGCCAGCACAACTGACTGATTTATAGATTCTTTCAAGACTGTGCTTGCAAAATGAAAAAAAATAGTCAAGAAAGCAGCTGTTCATGCTCTTGTTAATAAAGACCTTCATGACCCAGCTGAGGTCAGAGCCTTGTTCTGCTGAGTGCTCTGTAAAACTTATGATATGGGATTATCCTTGCTTTTTCTGCTATTGGAACTGACCACAAAGACAATGGACAGAGATAAAAATATCAGATGGGGAGTTGAACCACAGAGAAATTTTAAGGCTATGAATACTCCAAGATACCATAGCTCGGTCCAGCTGCCAAGCAAAGCAATCCTATTGTTCCTTCAGCTGCTCATTTCCTTCCCCACACTGCCCCACCCCTTGTGCTGGTACACATGTATGTGTAGTTTTATGGTGCACTGTTTTGTTAATGCAATTGAAAAATAATTCCTTTCCTTCTGAGCTGTTTCTGGCCAGGTCAGACTCCCAATCTTGTTTCACCTCCTAGCCATATAAGAGCTTCTGCTAACACAAAGAAGAGGGTAAATTATGAAAATGAAGCCCATGAACCTGGGAAAAGGCTGAGGTGCTTTTCCTAAAACCAATGCTGTTTTGTGCCAGTTTCGAAGTGACTGATAAACCAGTGCTTGCAGATGAAGCTTAGGCTTATGGAAGGCTATGTTGCTGCTGCAAGAATGATCCTCTTACGTGATTTCTCAGCATTAGCATTTTCTCTGTGACATGGCCAGCTCCACTTCCTCTTTCTCCTCTGTGAGGGGAAAGGTGAATCAATTTCTGTCAGCTGTTATTTGTTTGTGGAGGAGTCAGACAGTCAGCTAGTGTGAGGGAGAGGATGGGCATGGGTGGCTGGGAGCAGGAGAAGCAGGACCTTTCTTTTCCAAGGCAGTCTCTGTTCAGTTGGCTCACCAGCCTCAAACTTCTCTGAGAATCTTGGGTTTGGTCACACTTGAAGACTCTGGCAAAGTGGTGAATTTCCCATTATCCTGAATTGCAGTTTAATGTCTTAAATATTTTTGCCTTGAAATGTTTGCCACAAGTTGAATGCCCTATCATATATCATAAAGAGTAGTTAATGAGGCTTAATTATTTGCTCATTAAGTTTAAGTAGTAGGAGAGAAATGCTTTGGATTGCATCTTGCTGCTTGTAGTTGGAATTGTCAGGAAAGCTGAAACATGCCATAACACTTCTTGTGACAAAAAATATTCCACTTTAAATTACTTGTTCCTTTTAACAAAATCACACAGAAACTTTATCTGCTTGGTGTGTCTGCCTCAAGCTCAGTCTCCAAGAGAAGGTCGTAGCAGAAATAGTTCAATGGAAAATGGTATTTTTAACTAAAAGAGAAGAGAAAAACAAATGAACTCCATGGTCTGTTGTGAAGTTCTAGCATCATCTCTGGAAGTGGTCCTTGACATTTAATGGTGATGTTCCTCCTCTTACCCTTCCTTAAAACACTCTTTTGCTGTTTCTGTGTAAATGCAGCTCCATTTAATAAAATTATCAGACCAAAAATTAACTCTTTGCATAATATGAAAGGAGGTTGTCTACAGTACAATGGTCCAAAAATTTCTTTGCCTCCGAATACATGCCAAAAATCATTAAAAGGCTCCACAGTCATACAATAGGATACTTTGCTGTTACAACACCCCACAGCTATAGATTATCTGTGGAATTGTGCACCAGAATTGGAAGTGGGCAACAATGAGGAAATAGTGGTGTTAACAATGTTGCTGTAATGCAAATGTGATGTCCAAGAGACTTAAGGTTGTGCAGCAGAATTTAAGGTAAACTTTTCCTAAATTCTGAATCAGTAAATAAACTTAGTTGCCTGTAAGTTGTTACCTTGGAGAGTTGTATTGTGTTACCCAACAGTAGCTTTTGTTTTCACAGACCTCTTCTATTGCTTTTTTCTAGTTATGTGAAAGTAAAATTGTGTCCCTTCACTCAGTCTTGTAGTGATAGAAGACTGAGTCTTTTGTTCCAAAATGTGTTTCTTGTCACATTGCTAAAGTTGTAGTACAGTCACATATTTCAGCCTGGGCAAAATTATTGTTCATTAATTTTCTGCTTTTCTATGGATAGCCTCTTGAACTCAGGTCCAGAATGGTGTCTAAAGAAGCCTCTTTTCAAGAGCTGAAGGTTGAAACTGAAAGGTACAAGGAAAACAATTCTAAAGAGATGTCTCACCTCCTGTCTTTGCAAACATGAATTCAGGAGATGGAAGAAGAGCTGGGTGTGCTTGTCTCTTCTAAAACCAGGCTGAGCTGACAGCTCAGGTGGCGTTCAAGGAAAACTGGGAGCTGAAGGAGGAGCTTCAAGAGCAAAATGCCAAACGTAAGTAAGAGCCGTGAGATGAGAAACTAATTTTGATTGTGATGACAGAATGGTGCAGTTATCAACACAGAAAACTATGTTGGTGGACAGACTTTATTGCAGATGTGAATTCTGTCACAATGCCTTGCACAACTGTTGTATCTGAGTATGTGGAAGGTGTTGAAATTTGAATTTTGTTCTGAATTGTTAGCCCATAGATGGAGTTTTGAGTGTTTTGTCCTTTGAAGGTGAAACAATGATGTGTCATCTTCTTATTTACAAAAGAAGGAGCAGAGAGGGCTGTTAGTCTGACCACAGCAGAAATGGTACATATGATTTCCTCATTTTCAGGTATTTTCATGTATAGCACTGAAGCAAACTTTGAGCCTTTCATAGCATACTTGTGATGGGCAGAACCTGCAGCCACAGACCAGTGCCCCAGTCTGCCCTTATCAGACCTTTTTTGCAGACATATTCCTGTGGCCTGACATGCTGCATGGGCCGTGCAGTGGTGATAGACTGTGCTGCTGCACTGCTACAGTTTATTTTCCCCTCTTCTGTGTCACAGCTGGAACCAGAGCAAGCTCAAGCAAATTTCTTCCTTAGTGTAGAGCTGTCTGTTAGGAGAAGTGTAATAAAAGAAATATGGTATAATTCATAGTTAGTAGCATCCTGAAAGGAACATGTTAATGTTTGGTTAATGTTTGTTCAGCTTTCAGTAATGTTGGCTTTCTCTGACCTTTCTTCTGCTTTCTTTTGGATGTTGCTGTGTGGTCTCTTTTGTTTTCTTTTGCTTGCTTTTTGAATGTGCATAAGACTTAGAAGAAGAGAGAATGTCCTTTAGCTATATTGTTCTTAGCATAGTGTATCAGAGCACTGTCAGTTCTATGTAATTGCTCATATTTCAGGTCTGTGGGATGGAGACTGAGAGCAATGTTGATCACAAATAAAACTGATCGGTGTGAAAATATTCTGAACTTTAAAATTCCAAAATCACTGTCGCTCATATTAATACACACCTTATAGACTTTTATAATGGATTCCCCCCCACCCCTTACTAGGCTAATATTCATGTCTCTCTCAATACTGTCTAGTTAAGAGCAAGATGAGTGTTTACCTGTGTTTCCCATAGCTCTGCTAGAGTGAGAAGTGAATAATTGTGCCTTAGAAGTGAATAATTAAGTTGTTTTAAAATCTAGAGAAAACCATTGCAGTGCACTTCTTTGTTACCACCTGATTTGCCAAAAACCACACTTCAAGACTGCTGATGTTGATCAACAAAGATTTTAGATATGATCCCAGTATAAGTGAGGAGATAGTTAAGCAAGAAGTGAATTATGTGTCCTAGCAACATTAAATGCATCACAGTCTCTTACGTAATGGCTGTTAAGGTTCTTTAAAATGCTGTTTCTGGGGGGGTGGGGGAAGAAAAAAGGGAAGAAAAATCTCTTAGTTTGCCTAACTCAGTGGGAGAAAACTGCTGGAACACTATGTATCATACTAGCCTATCGTTACAGTGATATGAATTTCACATGGCATAAATCTATGCTGACACTCCCAGAGCAGTCCTGGCTGCTCTCTTTGGCCCATGACACTTGTGCCATCAGTTCTATTTGTGTTGCTACATGGTGATCAGGACCAGGGGACTGCTCCAAGAGAGAGGTGAACCAAATATAAAGCTTGGTTTCCAGCTCTACCAACACCAGATCTGCTTTGCTGTGCACCTGGAGTGTACCACTGGACTTCTCGCAAAAGGGAAGGGACAAAGGGAGAGTGAGTCTGCTCATTTGGAAGGAACTAACACGTTGAATTGGTCATGAATGCACAGTGTTTGCTTTCAAAGCTTTTTCTCATCCTCAGCTAACGATTACATGTGTCACTTAATACTAGCCAATGTATTGACTTAATGAGCTTCAGTTGCTTAGTCTGGCCACTTTAGTAGTACATGGCACATGACTAGTCCTAATTAGGTATTCAAGAAAGATGTTTCACAGAAAAATACTAATGAAAGGGAAGAGCAAGCCAGGAGGCATGAAATTGCATATTTACTTTCTATACCTGGGGATATAGTAAGAAGTGCTTGATGAATTATATGATTGGCTTCCAGGATGTGCACCTCTTCTATTGAAAATGGTGTTTTTCTACTCAACAGGTCTATTGCCATGGTATTTTTAGAGCATGAACTGTGAAAAGCCTATTTTTTCTTCTTTTTCCTCCCTTCTCTTTGCTCATTAGTTCTGAAGAGCTCACAAAACTGTGCAAGAGCTGTGTTCTACCTTTTTTGCAGCTGATTGCATATTTTCTAGGTGTTCACACCTTTTTGGCCCTACTGGAGGTAATTAGGGTATTTGTAGAGTTATCAAGTATGTGCTTTGTACTTCAGATTGTTTATTTTTAGAAGCAAGCATGGTTCTGTGCATCGATGCCTCAATTTTTTAGAGCCACAGAACAGTTTGCAGGATTGATGGTCAAGTTTACACAACGTTCTAACACAGACATGCAGGTATGACATGTCTGGGGCCTCCTACCTTTTCCCTTCTGATATACCCCTCATCAGCACAACAATTTAGCGACCATCTCACAGCTTATTTTTGCTGGGGCTACAGAGGAAAAGAAGGTGACTGTAGGTCAGGAAGCTGTGAGGCTCTTATTTTCTGAGGGCCAGTGGCTTCTGCAGAAGGCAGAGCTCTTTTGGTTCATGTTGTGTGCTGTGCAGTTGTACAGTTGAACTACCCTCATAATGTCCAGAGCTGTAATTCATGTTTTCCATTCCCCTCTGTTATTCTACCCTTCTCTTTCACTTGGCAGCATTGACATCAGCTGTGCTGATCTCCCTCCTAAGACTGTCTTAATTTTTTTCATGGACTATCCGTTTTGCGTACTGATTTATAACCATTTAATTGACTGTGTTTGCACTCACTGTGCATTTCTATTGGAGTCTCATGTTGCTCCTTGGTTATAGAGTATGTTCTGTTTGATTGCCAGCCCAGAGAGGAAGAAATCAGAAATGGAAAAGAGTGAGTCCAGAAATGATGCCCACTTTGAAAACCGGGAATAGTGCTATGCTCTGATAAGCAAATGAATTTCAATAAAATATTTGCTCTAGATAGCTGTTTGGTTATATCACATGTCTTGGTTTATTCTGGTGTGAAGAACTTACTTTAGAAAGTACCTTGTTTTTCAGCTGGAAGTGCAACAGTTTGTCTTGCATTCTACCACTAAGTACCTTTCTTGTGGGTGTTATCTGAGAGGTATTGGAGTTTATATTTGGATTACACTAATGGTCCTTTTTAGCTTTGTTTGGTTGAGTATCTTTGTTAATATGTTTCTTTGTAGTTTTTCATAAGTGATATGTGTTTCAGCATCGTGAGCAAGGTCAATGTTTGCTACCTGTGCAGACTGTGATGGTGCTTGTTTGCTGGACTTTGTCCCTGGCAAGGGAAGGGATGTAACCACACTTATGCCAGTGAGTTAATCTGACTGCTCAGTTATTTGGTTGGTTGTTCTTATCCAGCATTTACAAACTGATAACTGCTGTTAAGGATGATAACATGTTTCATGTGGAATATGTATCCACGTGATAGGCACCTGTCGAGAGTGATGAAATTGATGACAAAAAGCCACATTTTCTTCATACCTTTGTGGTAGTCCCTAGATACTTTCCTTTTTTAATCCATCCCTTTAATGGAATGTGAAATGCCTTTAGCATATTTTTGCTACAAGTTGATCACTCTCTTCCCCCTTACTTTTTCTAAGCTTTTGCTTGTGCTTTCCATTTATCTTGAGGGCCCTATTTATTGGCATCACCTGGGTCTTGCAGTTTTTTGAAATCTTGTGCTGAGAATGAGGTCAGGATTATAGAAGATCTTCAGAAGTGCTAATCAAAAGCAAAGATGAAGACGTGTTTACACATAAGGCAATAACAAAAAGTTGTATGTATTAAATAACAGGTATAGGGAATGGAATGTTAATTTTGAACATGTATTTGGTGGCATGCAGAAGCTAGCCATAATCTTGGCATTATGTATTTTGCCTAGAATTCATTTTCAGAGAACATTTGTTCTAATGTGTATATTCTTTTTCTGTCATTCTTTGAATGAATATGAAGGAAACATGACTCAAGCATCTAAAATCAGCAGAAAGTATGAAAAGCTCCTTATACAGTTTTCTGGATTCTTGGACACAGACATCAGAGAAAAAGACAAACCACAGGAACATATAGTGTCAAAGGTGATTATGTGTAGGCAAGGGTTTCTCTACAGCAATTTAACAGAAGAATATTTGGTTGTCACAGAAATAAAGCAAGTGATGGAGATCTCTGTGTTTGATAATGGTCTGCAGACAGTGTTATCATTTAAGAAAGGGGTTTTTTTTTTAACATTGGGCTGATTTTCAAAGGTGCTGAACACCAACAGGCCTCAGAGAACTCAGTCTGCTCTTATCTGCATAAATATTTTATCAGCCTGTAGTTCCCAAGTACAGCCCTGATTAGATAATCGGTTGAAAGCTTTCCTGGGAACATTAACACTGGGAGTCACTAGGTGATGTGTAAACTGTAGCACTAGATCTTAACACTTATCTTCAGGTGACATCCCATTAAATAGAAACACCTGAACTGGCATACCCTGAACCAATCCTAGCTGTGCTCTGTAACAAAATGCTGTAAAGAACTGTGTGGTGTTTCCCAAAACTTAATCATAAAAAGTTATTATTTCTCTTCAGCATACTTCAGAAGTTCCAAAAACTAGGCTTCCATTTAGGAAAGGAAAATTGTTCTTTTAACCTCTATCAATGCTGCTGAAAGATATTTTATTCTAGTTTTATGCATTTTACTTGTCTTCTGTCTAGTCTTTTGATGTCCCTATTTTTCTTCACTGAGGAGCACAATAAGTATTTGGGGAAATTCTGTTTCATTTATGTTCATAGTATTGTAAGAGTTCTGCCTTCATAAATTAGGATATCTACATATTTATCACCCTGATTTCTCAAAGTACTTGCCCTTATAGTATTACATAATATTGCAGGCACATTGAAATTGTAATAGATGCTTTAACAAAATTTGGCTAGTTGTCATGCCAGAGGCACTGTTGCATGCTCTATTAATTAATAAATTAATGAATAAATGGAGCTTTAAAAATATACATTGATGCCTTTTAATGATGTAGTAATAAATCTAGTTGAGAACTCTAATTTGTGCTAAAAAACTTTTCATTAGTAATCCTTAGCAACTAATTTTTCTGGGGTCATGGCATGTCTATTTAGCTTCTTTTCCATGTTACAACTTTATTTAAGACAGAAATGATCTGTCTTAGTCTCAGCAAATATCTTGCCAGTCGGAGTTGGGTATTTTTTTTACTTACTCTTTGGAGTGCCCACTTTCATCTGTAACACTTATTTGAAACAGCATGGTGCAAAAAACAGCCCTAGAATCCTCTTGGAAATCACTCCTTTTTCCAAGGTGTCAGATGCTCATAATGGCAGCACAACAGGTATTTGGCCCTGCCCTTTATGCTATGAAATAGCTGTTACTAAGTCAAATATGTCATGCCTAAGAAGTTTCAAGCATGAATTCCAGCTTTCAATTTCTTGTTCCAAATGAAAGGCACACATCTTAAAAAAGCCAGGCTGGAATGGTCTGCTTTTCACATGAAGTTAGCTACATGATCTGTTTTCTGACCTGCTTCATGTCAAGCACAGATATGTGGCAGCAGTAACTCTCCACCTGTTTAATAGATCATAAACTTTGTGTGGGAGTAAATCTGAACTAAGATGGGGGTTTATGGTTGAAATATTCTTCTATGATTTAAATTGTCTTTCTACTCTTTTTGTGAAGGAATAGTAGAGTGCAATTATAAATGTGACTTAGGGGTTACCAGAAACACCATGGATTTATTGGGATGATTAGAAGCAGGTGTACTGGGATGAATACATGTAATTGTTAAGTGTTTTTAAAAAAAGCCACTAATATTTGAATTATTTCTCAAGGTCTCTGAAATATGTACAGAAAATCTGACACTAAAAGACCAGGTTGCTGCTCTTCAAGAAGCTATGAATGTCCATGAGATGGAATGCAAAGCTAGTAGAGAAACTATCATGAGACTAGTTTCAGAAGTGACCAAGGAGCATAAAAAGGTGACAGGTTAAAGTCAAGACATGGAAAAACTTAGTAAGGTACATAATTGAATGACTTTTATGTTTGTTAATTTTCTAATGTTTTGTCAAAATTTCAAATTAATTTTCAATAGGAATTCTACGGAAAAAATGCTTCTGAAAGACTTATGTTGGTTAGAGTCTTTCCTGAAAAGAACATTTTTCTAAGGTTATTCTCAACTTTTTGGAAGTTTCAGACTATATGGAGATTAAACTATAACATTGTGTAAAATAGATCTGATGTAGATCTGATGTCTTTCAATGCTGTTTGCATATTTCTGTTTTTGCTTCCTTCACAGTGTTGTAAGCTTTGTGTTTGCACAAACATGTAATTACACTCATTAACTCTATAAACATTTGTTTATCTGAGGCACAAACATGCAACAATGAAAAAACGCTCTTTTAAGTAACATTTATGCGATTTTGCAAGTTTTCTGAGAATTCTTCTACTCAGTTTCTTCAAAAATTCTAACAAGAAATTGAGAGGAATTGATAGGGTACTTCTTTCCCTTAGGGAAGTGGAAGGTAAAGTGTCTTGTCTTCTGGACATCCTAGATTATCTTTTCACTGCATTATAAATTTGTATTTCATTACTGTTGGCTCATAACCAAAAGATTGTTGGCAGTAGGATGGCTCTTGCAGGAAAACACTGTTGTGCCATTGGGGAAATCACTACAGCAGGAAAGATGCTTAAATGAGAAATTGAAGTTAAGTTGTATGTTAGGTATTCACTAAATTCACCTTGCTATGATTTGGAGAGGAAAAGGATGTGATTTAAGGATTTAATTGTTTCAGGAAAACTCACCATGAGTTTTTGTACATTTCAAAGGATGGGTGAACAAAGTGAGCTTCTGTAGCAGTTTTCGTTATTGCTTTGTTCTTTGCATGATAACTGTGGAAAGAAAGAAGTTTAGTAAAACCATAATGAAAATTTCCCACAGGTGGAGCAGTGTGGTTAAAGCTGATGGCCAGAACTTAAGAAAAAGAAGAGAAGAAACTTCGACTGCCAAATATGAAGCTGAGTTATGTGTGATTGAGTATAGAAATCTTCAACATAAAGGCAACCTTGTGTTTTCAAAGGTAATACAGTATTTTCCCCAACCCCTGGCGTGCCTTTTTTTCCTGAACAAAAGACCTTCATGGTACACTTTAAAGGATATACTGTTCTGATTTGGCTGTAAGCAAAATACTTAGGAGATGAGATATAACTGGCAGTGTGCTCTGGAGAAGAAAGAATTTGTTGTAGGGATGATAAATGTTAAGTACCACAAGGGTCATAAATTTTACTTACTGCTGAAAATAGTTCTTACCAAGCTGTGCAAAATTTTCTAAGACTCAAATGGAATGGGGAGAGAACCTGCACCAAAAACTTAAATAGGTACTTTTTGAGAACATGTTGTTCTTATACTTCACTTCAAACACAGGTGTGTGAGGAAGAGCAGAGTGTATTTTACTCACTAAGTAAACCAGAATCAGGAGATGTTTTAAACCAGGATGAGGGCTTCATTTGTGACTTGTTTTGCAAGTTTGCTCTAACTGCCAAAGCATTTACCAAGTTCAGCTACTTTTATGGAAAATATTTTCCTATCATAATTGAGCATATGCCAAATTCATAGTTTATTTAACCAATTTTAGAAAAATGTCTTGCTAAATTATTAGCATTGCTTTTCAAATGAAGTATATGCCATCAGGGATTATTGAGGAGCTGCTAATTCCTTCAGTGCTGTATCAGTTTAGCTACATAGATTTGCAGACACTGAGTACATCTATTCAGAATGTTTTGTATTCACAAAAGCATATTAAGAAATTCAGTATTGAAAAAAATAAAATTGCTTTAAGTCCTCATATGTAAAGTGTGATGTATGGGATGCCTGTTCCCCTGACAGGTGTCTTACTAGGTTACAGGAAGGGCACCAGAGGTATAAAGTTGGTTTGACTTTGTCATGTCCTTTGCAGCACAGTTTAAGCACATGAACAGAGCTGCACATGTTGTAACATGTTGCCCTGTGAGGGTGAAAAGCAGAAATCCATACTGCTCCTGGCCCAGAAGACTCATACTTGGCTGTGTGGTTTTGGGCTGTTTTCTGAACTAAATTAATGGATTTGCCTGGAGCTGAGTTTCCCCAGCAGAGACTGAGTACAACTGACTCTTGCCTGCATCTGCCTGAAGGTCTTGGGGCCAAACATTTTGGCCATCTTCATTATTGCAGATTGAGATGGCAGCCCATTTCCCCCAGTTTTCTCTTAAAATTCTTCCTAAGTCTGCAGAGACCACCACACTGTTCTGTCAGTCATCTCTAGCAAGCCTCAGCCACAGCACTGTTCCCTGCCACCTCTGAATAATTGCCAGTTTTAATTGCCAGGTAGTTCTCCACTCCACACCCTTGGGGTTTCTATGAACTCCCTCCTTGAACAGGTGCTTCACTGTATGTCCCAGAAGGAGGTAGCTGTATATATTCCAAAATTCTTGCTGAAGAAAATGAAAGCTGGTTGGTTATGTCTTAAGGTTAATAGATTCAAAATGTTGTTTAACATGTTTGATACTTGAGTATTGGTTGCAGTTAGCTGGTTTTCATTTGAGGAGCATTAGCAAGCAGACAATAATTTTATCTGTTCCTTTCTCAGTCTCACTGTATCACAATAGCAAATAGCAAAGAATAAAATCCCACACACTCTTGAAAGTAATATAAGTAAAACCAGCAAGTCACCACGCTGGTTTTGTTGTAATGTATTACTTTACTTTTCGAATTCTGCACGTCTCACATTTCTGACAGAATCCTGCAGATCTGGAGATCTGCAAATATTGTACATGCCTTTATTCTGGCAGTGCTGGATATCAAATTTGCATTTGATGAAAAATAACTTTTAAATGCTGCCCAGATTTCTAGACTGAGAATGAGAATAACTGTTCTTTCTTTATGTATGTCTAGACAGTGATTATTGACTATGATAATCAAAATTACAGAATCATAAGATTCTGAGAGTGTCTGTAGGTCCTTTAAAATGTCTTATTTGCTCTAATCAATTTTCTTTCTAGTATTTAATAAATTCCCCTACAGTATTTATCTAAGCTGTAGAAGAAGATACATATATTCTTCTTCCAGTTTAATATGTCCTTCACACAGCATTGCTGTGGGTGAACCACTAGAACTAGTGAACTGTCTTGTTCTGTTTCACTTCTTTGCTGATGATTCAACCTGGAAATATTTGTGATTTCCCTCTGAAGTGTTATTTTAAACATCTGTTTTCCAAAGTTGTGCACCACCCGAAGTTTTTAAAGAACATATTTGAAATATAATCAAGCAATTTTAATTAATACAAATATATCTGCATGTACTATTGATGCAAAATAAGGCAAGAAAATACTCTTCAGTATTCAATATTGACTTGTATTGTCATGTTAATGAATAAAATTTATCTAAGTAGTATCTAGTCAATATAAATGTATTAAAATAAATTGAGTATATGAAAACAATTAAAATCTAAAAATATTATTTAAGGAAATTGACTAAACTTAATATCCATGGCTACATTTTATATATACCCAAATACTTTGATTGTAGGAGAGACAACTAAATGATTTTGTTTTTCTTTTTCCAACAGATAAATAAAGGAATGAGTTCCTCAGAACCTGGTTTGGCTTTATTTTGTTTTGCGTTGTTTGTAAGATGTCATTAAGCAAATACATATTACAGACAGGTTTCAACAGGCATCACAGATATTTTCAGGCTGAATCATCAGAGAAGAGAGGAGATAAGAGCAAGCTAGTTTATAGTCCTTGTGGTATAACAATAGTGACTTGGTGCAGTGCTATAAGAATTCATCTGGAAGATACCTGCATTCTCTTTTATACATTCTTATTATTGTTAATGTAATATGGGTTCTTTTTTCTATATGTGTGTGTAGTTGACTTAGTGTATGGAGACTCTGATGCTGATTGAGATGTTGGTATTAATAGAATCATAGAATCTTTTAGGTTGGAAAAGACCTTTAAGATCATCGAGTCCAACTGTTAACCTGTACTGTCAAGTCTGCCACTAAATCATATTCCTAAGTGCCATATTTACAAGTCTTTCAAATACATCCAGGGATGGTGACTCCACCTCTTCCCTGGGCAACCTAATCCAATGCCTGAAAACCCTTTTGATGAAGAATGTTTTCCTAATATCCAAGCTGAATCTCCTTTGGTGTAACTTGACATTTCCTTTTGTCCTATTGCTTCTTAGCTGGGAGAAGAGACAAACCCCCATCTGGCTAAAAGCTCTTTTCAGTCAGATGTAGAGAATGATAAAGTCTTTCCTGAGCCTCCCTTTCTCCAGGCTAAACATCTCCAGCTCCCTCAGCTGCTCCTCAGAAGACTTGTGCTCCAGATCCTTCTCCAGTTCCATTGCCCTTTTCTGGACACGCTTTACCCCCTCAAGGTCTTTCTTCTAGTGAGGGGCCCAAAACTGAACACAGTACTTGATGTGTGACCTCACCAGCACCGAGTACAGAGGGACAATCACTTCCCTAGTTCTGCTGGCCACACTGTTGCTGATCCAGGCCAGGATGCCATTGGTCTTCTTGGCCACCTGGTCACACTGCTGGCTCATGTTCAGCTGCTGTTGACTAGCACCTCCAGGTCCTTTTCTGCCAGCCAACTTTCCAGCCACTATTTGGTGGCTTGCACTTCCTTATTTTGTATCTTAATATTTTGTTTCAGCTGTGTTTGTTTGCAGGTGTTCACAATTTGAAACAGGATTGCAATTAGGTGAGCTCTCATGTACTGGCAAAATACTTCAGCACTGCCTTTCTGAAGGGAAAAATACACACTGCTGAAAACTGTAATTGAAACAAACTATTTTTTGCTGTAATTACTATAATATAATTCTGAGCACAGGTGGAGATTTTCTATTAATAAGCTTTGTTTAGAATAAAGTGAAAATGGCAAGGAATCATGCCAACATTTGTTTTTAAATCAGTTCTAGAATTACTTTAAAAAGGTGTAGTAACAAATAATTTCCCAAATGACAGGGTTTGTTTCCATTGATGTTGCCTTTTTGAAGCTTTTAAAAATGTTAGCATTCTTGTATGTTACTATTTTGTTTTCTAAGGGTGCCCTGCAAACTCCTTTTTCTTGTCCATCCTCCTCTCTCATCTACATAAATACTCCCAGATTTACTACTTGATTGGCAGGTATTCCATTAACACTAATGGCATACTGTGCTACACAGCAAGCACAGATGGACCCTGAGAGACCCTTGAGTGATCACCACAATCACAACTGCTCCAGGAACAATTCTTTAACTCTAGTGTAACTAATCTTAACTCATATTAGTCCACTTGTTGAGACTCTACTAACAACTGAGTCTTCCAGAGAAATTCAATCACTCTCTGTAAAGATGCTATCCCCTGTCATAATTTTGTGTCTTGAGTGAAGTCATATTCTTCCCTTTTGTGTCATGTGTGAAGTGATATTTCCTATTTGTTCTTATCAATCGGATAATGCCTTGAGAAATGAAGACTTAGTCTTTGCTATGGTTACCCTGCAAATATTTTTCTTGTATACAAATGTGTAAGCACTCTTAATATTGGTATTGTGGGGAAAGGAAAGAGGTTCACAAGCTGAATGAGAGAGATTTATTTTTCTTTATGTTTTAATGGTTATTTTTCTTTGATTTTTCTCTCATCATTTGCTTTGGTACCGTGGGTCAGGATACAGGATTCTGTCTGCCTGCTCTGCCCTATTAGGTCAATTTTATATACAACTGATATAGATTTGTATGTATTTGCTATATGCTATTCCTTCCCAACCTTGATTTTGCTTGGTGCCTCACTTGTCATTTCTGTGTTTAAATAATCTCAGGAATTTTTGTCACATTCAGGTTAGCTGATCTCAGAGATCTTCTCTTAACACTATACTCAAAGAGACTGGGTGTAGTGGTCAGCTCTGAGTTGGTCAGGCATTTGGTTTTGACTATCACTGCAGGTCCCTTCCAACTTAAATGTTCTGTTCTGTTCAGTTCTATGCTTTCTGCTCTGAGTTGTAGTACTTTGGCTTTATTTGTGTTACATCGTGTTCACTGTTTATTTTTCAGGTCATATTATCTGAATGAAAAAATAAGATATCAATAGTTTTACAATACAAAATTGGGTTTTGTTCATCTGCAAATTTTATTCACATATTCCTTTTTGCAGGCCACTGCAAGAGGCTAGTCTATAGTGTGACTACAGCAGAGTTTGGGTTTACATCAGTTTTGGTGTCAGTTCTCCTAAGAAACTCTGATGCTGAGCCCATAGGAGCAATATGGGTTTCTGTCTGCAGTACCTGCTCCTGAGTTATTCCCTGCTTTGTGTGTGGTGCTGAGGGGTTATAACTGATTTACAAAGTCTGGTTTAATCTTTCATGCATTTTTGGATCTTGACAGCACTATAATAAAAAGACAGAGTTTAGAGATGGAGATCAGAAACCTCCAAGATAAACTGACTTAACCAGAAATCTTTGGACACAAAGCAGGAACTGTACAATCTGAAGAAATCTTCCAGTGAGTTAGATGGAAGCTTGAAGAGCAGCAGAGAAGAGGCCTGGACTGCTCAGGACTCTTTAGAGGCTTTTAATGAACAAATTGCTACCCTGCTCAGCTGTGGATCTGCAGTAGTTAAACCTTTTGAGAAGGCCATTTTGGAGAGGATCCAAGAAATATATGGCAAAGAGGTGAGTAAAGAAATAGTAAGTCAGCAGCTACTGCACTTTGCCCGATGTGTGTATTTATTCTCTTTGAATCCTGTTTGATTTTGTTTATCTGGTTTAGGTTTGAAATTACAGAAACATTTAATTTTGTTGTCTACTGATTGGAGGTAATAGGTGAAAGGCATCTACGTTTTATTAAGTAGGAAGGTGTCAGAAGTTAAATTAATAACAGATGCTGTTAAGAGGAAAAGACTTGGAACTGTCTTTCAGTTGCAACACTGATACTTGGTTTTGGTGCCAGCACACATCAAAAGTGGCTGTGTGGTTACTATGATTGAGTGAAACACAAACAAGCAGGGATTTGATGATACAACAGTGACTTCAAGGACTAAATTCTTTCTCAAAGCAGAAATAATTGATGAGTTGCCCCAGGTAACTTCTTTCCCTCTAATCCTCAAACCTCACACCTAAAAACAAAGTTCCAAGTATTTTTGCACTTGCAGTTAAACATTGTCGACACCATACCTGCTCACCATCCAGGAGAAAGGCAATAGGAAGGCAGCTGGCTCTGGCTTGAGGCATTTTGGCTGGTAATGTTTGCAAAGGTGTTTGAATGTACAGGTACAGAAGGGACAACTCAGGAGGAAGCTGAGTCAGAATGCAATTTGACCAATGTCAGTATCCTGACACTGCACTGAAGTTTCTCATTTGCTTACACATGGGCATGTATTAATTTTGTTAGTGAGGACTATTATATAATTAAAAGTCACACACTAAATCAAAAAGCTGTTTTCACTGAGCCACTAGAAAACAACTTCTGTGTCCTTGCCAGATTTTAAGATTCTAGCATCTCCTGCTGATAGTTTTATGTTATCAAATGTTTTTGTATTCTGTCCAAGACTGGAAATAACTCTTGAAAATATCCTGGTGCATTTTGACTAAGTATTTTAAAAAAACCCCAGCAAAAGAAAACAGCTCCCTTATACCTTGGTTTGAGAGTCAGCATGCTAAACTTCAATGAAATTAAGTATTGTGGAGGTTGTTAACATTTGAAAGTGATCCACTGGAGTGGAGGTGTGACAGCAACTTTTCAACATAGAACTTCTTTACAGTTTTGCTCTATGTTGTGGAGTGTTGTTTTCATAAGCAAAATGCTTTGAAATTGAAATCTAATGAGAGGTTCATGTGCATGTATGTTTGCACTATTTGGTGTTTTGGTATACAAAATACTGCTAAATAATAATATAATATAATTTGTAATAATGTTGCCTTTCAATTGAATATTGCTGGGTGAATTTGGTTATTGTAGGTGAATAATGAAGTTCTGTGGATCACTGTATTTGCTAAGTATGTGAAGTGATAAAGCTGTAATGTTTCACTACTATGACTCATTTGGAAATTTGTTTTGCATAGCCCCAAAGGGAACTATGTTACTAAAGCAGTGCTGGAAACTACTCTCAGAAGAGTTTCTGCACTGGAGGGATTCATGGACATCTGGAGTACAAGCCAAGCAAATGTGCTCAGTTCATACAGAGCTCAGCCCTGGTTATAAGGTCTCTGGGTCTAGGTCCTCTCCATTTGACAAGTTTTGTTGTAGATCTGTTGCAGCAAATTAAATTTGTATATCCAAAATTGTGTCTCTTGACTACCTATGGCTGATCTTATTGTAGATCATCTTAATTCTATTAGCTTTTGGCATTGCATATTGATACACAGAGTCTTAAACGCCAAAATTGATTAGACTGTACTACTGCTCCCATTAAAATCTCCTGTTCTCATTTCATAATGATGTTTATGGCAATGTCATAAATGCATTTTTAATTTTAGGGATTTATTTTCTTTGTCTTTCCAAACAAAAGAATTGAGCATAAAATAATTCGAGAAATTAAATTAAGAGTGATAAAAATTTTTTAATACATGCACTGATTGAGGGCTGACCAAGAATATTCCAACCAACTAGAATGTGAGACAGAATAATTTAAGTTGGAAAAGACCTCCAAGATCATCAAGTCCAACCTTTGACTGGTCACCATCTTGTCAACTAGACCATGCAGAAAGTGCCATGTCCAGTTGTTTCATGAAGACCTCCAGGGATGGTGACTTCACCACCACCCTGGGCAGCCTAATCCAATGCCTGACAGTCCTTTCAGTGAAGAAATTTCTCCTGATGTCTAACCTCGAACCTCCCTTGGCACAGCTTGAGGCCATGTCCTCTTGTTCTGTCACCAGTTGCCTGGGTGAAGAGACAAAGCCCCCACCTTGCTACAGCCTCCTTTCAGGTAGTTGTAGAGAACAATAAAGTCCCCCCTGAACCTTCTTTTCTCCAGGCTAAACACCCCCAGCTCCCCCAGCCACTCTTCATATGTCTTACCCTCTAGACCCTTCACCAGCTCTGATGCCCTTCTCTGTACATGCTCCAACACCTCAATGTCTTTCTTGAAGTGAGGGGCCTGGCATTGGGCACAGTACTTGAGGTGTGACACATCTAGTACAGAGGGACAATCAATTCCCTGGTCCTTCTAGTCACATTATTGCTGATGCAGGCCAGGATGCCATTGGCCTTCTTGGCCACCTGAGCACACTGCTGGCTTATGTTCAGCTGCTTTCAACCAAACAGATTTTCTAAAAAGCAGGGAGTGTTTTTTTCAGGCTGGCTGATTCTGCTGCACAAGTCATAGGCACAGGAAACTGTGGTCAGAACTGCAGGACGAAATATGCAGCCTTAGTAAGACACTGGATCCAGGCATGGGTGCATAACAAGGGTGCAACCCTGTTTTAGGAAATATCTAATTTGTGAGTTGTCCCTAAGCTAAGGATAAAAGTTAACACCAGGATGTTCTGGATGATAAACTGACATCTTGGTGGTTTTGTGCTCTCAGCTTCCGTGGTACAGACCCTTACTGTCCCATGTTTATGGACCTTTGAAGCCTCTAAAACCTCCTTTCAGCTGGGCTCTGCCCAGGGCCACTGTGCAGTCTGATAAAGGGGATCTGGGTTCTCTGGCAGCTCTATGTCTCTGGGAGAACAAGTTACTGAAACTGCTTTTTTTCCCTGCTCAGTGATGTGTGATGCAGAAAAGCATAAAATGTGTGCGTGGGTTCTTGAAGTTTTATTATTGTTTAGTGTTTTCTACTGTTGTATGAGAAGCAGTAATTTATCAGTGTTTTTTAGGTGTGTTGGGTCCAAACTGTTGTTTGTATTTAATTGCAGTTTGAGTTGGAAACCTTTCAGTGCCATTAAAATTAATGGGACCTCTGTGTGCTTATTGTTCATTTTATTAACAGGAAGCAAACAGATGCTTAAAATGAAGAGGCTGCTTGGAGACAAGTGTCTGAACACTGTGTTACAAATGCAATATAATAATTATATAACCAGATAATTATATGACAGTAAGAAGAAGAAACAGGGAAGCAAGCAACTCTTTGGATAGGACTGCCTTTCAGCATTTGGCAGTAGTATAACCAGATACTTTCAAACATTTAATTTATAAGTAGTTCACAACTTAAAATCCATTACATTATATGTAGGCATTGTAAAGTTAACAGTGTAGAGCTAGAAATGTGTTCAGAATTATTAGTCCAGTTACTTGTTATGAAATTTTATTCTTTTATCCTTGGGCTCTGACTAGTTTGCAGAAATTGCAACTAATTTTTTTTTTTTAGCAAGATCTTTTAGCTAAACACCCTTTAACAGTATAACAACTGGGAAACACTCCTCTGAGACTTAGTTATCCATATCTATATTCTCCCTGACATGCTTCATGTATTTTCTAGATCACTTATCTGCCTTTTCTACTCAGCTCCTTCGATAGAAGGATGCTGTCAGGTATTGCTGCTGTTCTCTCATCTTTGAAATTTTGTCTCTAAATTAGTTTGTATTGATTTTTTAATAGATAGCAGTCCCTTTTAGTGGTTTGACTGATCTTATATATGGTTTCCGCTGTTCACTTTTGGATATCTCATGTCACCACTTCTGCCATTTTCTCCTGGTGGTTACAGCAGATTTTTCTCCTTTTGTCTTTTTAAATGCATGAATTTTAAGGATAGCTATTTTACCCTATTTTTAATAATTTGATGATGCAATTTTCATATCTTTCTAACAGTTCCACACCTAATCCCATATGCTTTGTTAGTTTGCTTGCTCCCTAGATGGTATCTCAGCTTGAAACCCAAATAGTTAAAATGACTGAAGCTTTGGAAAGTCAGACCAGATTGTACCTTTTTTTTCAAATATCCTTGTGTTTGGAAAACAAGATGAAGACTCAGTCAGAAAAACCTGAAAGCAAAAGAGCTGCACATGAACTTTCTGCGGCAGAAAATAACTAATCTGGAAGAAAAGAAGCAAGTAAGGACTGTCTTAGCTGTGGAAAGGGCTGAGGCCAATCTTGCTGTCAGAAAGTTACAGAAGATGAGAGAGGTTACAGAAGAAGCTTGATCTGGCGAAGGAAACAAATGATCTCAAAGCCAAGCTGTCTGAAACCAATGAACCTAAGGTGAGTTAAAAGGTTACATTTGTGCTTCTTTCTGTTCTTTTATTCCAGTAAGATACAGCTGGAGTTCATTTGCAATAAATGTGTTAATGGAGAACTGCTCATATCCATCTAGGTGGCGAAAGCAATTATAATACTACAATGTGGTGGGCATTTTGCTATATGACTTGATATGCTAAGTACTGTCTGTAAAGCACAATGTAAATGTTCAGGCTAGTGTAAGAAAAATATATGCATCCCTTTCTTTCCTTTTGATATGGCTGGAATCGTGTGTTTTCTTATATGTTGCTCACAGTAGATCTCTTCTGATAGGATTGGAGGGGGATTTTTTCTTGCATATAACAGGCAAGATGCTAAATTTTAATTGTTCCTGTGTTTAATTACATTGCAGCAGTAATACATTACCTGCTTTAATTCAGGTGAATACAACTAGTTTGCAGTAATTGATAACATTCAACACTAGAAGAAAGGAAGATTGATTTTAGGAGAGTTTCTGTCTGGTGACTGATGGAGAGAAATAGATAACTAGGTGCATGTAATAACTGAAACATTTTTACCAGCAAAACATTTGGCCACTCTTTTTGATACTATTTTTCCAGGGGTTGGCATAGAATGAACCCTCACTCCGGGTTTTTGTCTGTCCAGTTACCTCTTTTCACAAAACCTGTAGAGAATTGCCTGTCTTTGAAAGAAGAATCTTTTTGTTAGTTGTGTTGAAATAGGGCCTTTATATAGTCTCCTTTAATAATTTGTCAGGCCAGATGTAGCTGTGATTTCATCAAGAACTCACAAGAAACCACATTAAAGTGCTTACTCATGATCACTCCTAATATTTTTATTATTTGTTCACATTAGATAAAAAAGTACAATGAATTTAACACTTTTTTATCTTATTGCAGATCAAAACTTTGGAGCAGAACAGAACAATAGTAGAACTCCATAAGTCTCAAGGCAAATTGAAAAGAATGAAAGAAAAAGCTGAAAAACAACTTAGCTCTGTCAAATCAGAACTTCTTTTGAAGGAGCATAAAGCTACAGAAGATAAAGAATAAAAACCAAAAATATGTTAGAAGCAGTTACCAGTGAGATGAAGGTGCTTAAAACAACCCTTGCAGAACTAGCAAAAAGACAGAGACAGGTACATGTATAGGTATTTGACAAGTGCTAGCTGTAGGTGGAGCAGCTAGCCAGGTGTGCTTAAAACCATTGGGAACATTATTAAACAAGAAAATTTTAGCTCACACTTGTGATCCAGAGTGCCAGTTGTGATTCTGAGAGGCAAAGTTATTCTGCAAGTCAAAGTCTGCCAGAGAATTAGTATTAAAACCAGACATTGTGTAATTTATTCATCACAAAATATTTTATCACCTTTTAGAGAACTATTAAAATGCTTCAAAGTCCTAGTGTCTCTTTAAAATCTAGTATCCTAGTGTGTCTTTTTCCATATGTCTTAGGTAAAAACATTATCAATTTCTTATCCATTTCCTTTTGTTTCTTCCTAATGTCTCTTGCAGTTTCTCCTTGCAAATTATATGAGATTCAACAAGTCTAAGTGATAGGATTAGAGGAAGCAGCCTCAAGTTGTGCCAGGGAGGTTTAGATTGGATATTAGGAAAAATTTATTCACTGAAAGGGTAGTCAGGCATTGGAACAAGTTGCCCAGGGAGGTGCTTGAGTTACCAACCCTGAAGGTATTTAAAAGACATGTAGACATGGTTTAGTGGTGGACTTGGAAATGTAGGTTAACAGTTGGACTTAATGACCTTAAAGGTCTTTTCCAACCTGATCCTGTGATTCTATGTTACTGTGTACAGGCCATAAATTCAAAGAATGTTGGAAAATATAAGAAAAAAACCAACCCCCCAAAAACCCAAACCCTAGACTTAATATTGAATATAACTATTTTAGATCAATTTATGACATATAACTTTGTTAAAGTTAAGGCAGAAAATGTTTTGTGGTAACTCATCTTGGGGAGGGTGTAAGGAGTTTGTGAGATCATATTAGTAAGCGTGTTCCATTGTAATTTCAAAAAATTGTGGAATATGTATGTTATTTCCCTGCACATTGTGTTTTGTAGAAACTTTATAGGTGGCATAATTGTTGAAAGCCAATGGGATGTCACTTTAAAGTAAAAAAGTTGTAATTTAAAATTTCTTATTACAATTGCTTAGAACATCGTTAGGTTTTCCAGCTAAAATTTATGCCATATATTGGACATAGGAATGACTCTGGATGAAATTGAAGAATGCTATTTCAAAAAATTAGTTGGAAAAGAATTTTGTTACTTATATGGAGAAAAGACCAACAATCTAGGGATCTCTTTTGCTGGAAATCTTTAGCACTCTTTCATTTTATAATGAAGGTTAGAAATTTGGCAGGAAAATTTAATTTCTTCATATACCTCATGAGGAAAGAAAGCATCCAGCATGCAGAAGAAGATATGAATTATATTCAGGTAATTATTCCACAGGGTCATACACTGACTACTTGCTGAAAGCTCACAAATGCTGAATTTTTTCTGTCTGAACCCATGGCATTACAAGCCACTTGAATACAGTTGCAGTGTTCTTTGGACAATTTCCTCCCCTTTTCTTTCTAGTGCAACAGGACCTTTTCTGCTTTCCCATAGTTATTGTGTGAAAACAAAATACAGTGTATGCTTTTTTCTTCTGCTCTGCCCCCACCCCTGCCCCCTGATAGCTTGGGTTAGTGCACTGCATTGCATTCATTTAATCTCTTTTACTTCAGATAATATTACTCACTGAATGGAAGGTGCAAAGAGAATTTAGCAGTAGTGCTCACTGCTGTAGCACACCTTTGGTTTTGTGTCTTTAGTGATGTGTGTCTTTTATTAGTTCTCTCCTTTTCTTCATACTGTGACTATTTTAGCAGTATCAACTGCTATTGAACAAAGCCGTAAATAGAGAGGTAGGTGGTTCTTCTGTCAGATTCTAGTATTCAGCAGAACTGTTGTGTTCCTAATACCTTTGTTGCATCCGAGAGCAATGCTTCTCTTTGCCAGTTTATGTGGAGAATTTCTTTGTCATCGACCCTTTTCCTGCATTTTCAAAGAACTACAACTTTGCCTGCACTGTACTGACACAATATATTGGAAAAGTCTTTCTGTCTAAGTGTTATTCCATTAAATTGGAAAAATATCCTCAATTTAAAACTCACATAAACGAATGGCTTAAAGGATTTCTTTAAGGGCTCTCTGTGCTTTCCACTTTAGGTTATTTGCTGATGAAAGTTATTGAATTCTTGATGTATTTATTGTCCATTCAGTATAGGTATCACCAGCTTTTCTCATCAAAAATAAAGGATGAGATGATTGTGTACACGTTTTAATTTATATCTATTTGCTCTGGCAAAGTCCTGTAGGATCAATAATCTGTGTCAGTGAACCAAGTGTAATTTGATTGCATTTGTTACATAGTTGTAGTGCAATTTGGTTTACTCACAGTTGCTGTAGTTAAGTTGAACATCTTGCAATACCAAAGATAGGAGGGCAAGAACTTTGGTGCAAAGTGCAGCCCCTAATGTACTCCCAGGGGATCAGTTGGGTTTGCTGTGTAGGTGCCTTCTGGGGGTTTAATTCAATCAAAGGCTACATCTTTGCAGGGAGCTGCCTTGATCTTTTAATTTAAAGTCTGTATGGAAACAAATTCCAGCTTTGCTGTCTGCTCATCCTGTGATCCAGATGTTTTAAAAAAATAAATCTTTACCTTCTGCTAAATGGTACTTGTCTAACACACTGCCAGAGCACTGCATCGGTGACCTCCTGGATTAGTATAGAAGAGAATATATAGGAACTTGAGAGTTTTTGATGTAACATTGCTACAATGTTTCATCCAAGATGTTGCACTTCCTTGGCAAGATGGATAGCTGGGACTGAATTCTCAAATCATAGCATCATAGAATGGTTTGGGGTGGAAGGGACCTTAAAGATCATCTAGTTCCAGCCCCCTCACCATAGGCAGGCATACCTTCCATGAGACCAGGTTGCTCAAAACCTCATTCAACCTGGCCTGGAATATTCCTAGGGATGGGGCATCCAGAACTTCCCTGGGCAATCTGTTCCAGTGCCTTACCACCCTCTGAGTAAAAGGTTTTTTCTAACATCTAATCTAAATCTCTCCTCTTTTCAATTAAAAGCATTACCCCTTGTCCTATCACTGTATGCATGTGTAAAAAGTTTCTCTCTTTTTTTAAAAGGGCTGCAATGAAGTCTCCCTGGAACCTTCTCCCAGCTAACCAACCCCAACACTCTCAGCCTGTCTTCATAGGAGAGGGGCTCCAGCCCTCTGATCATCTCTGTGGCCTTCATCTGGACCTGTTCTAACAGGTCTGTGCCTCCCTTATGCTGAGGAGTCCAGACCTCAGCCGTATACTGTCTTGGTTTCTGTGTTTGTTTTTCTGAACTGATGGCAGCTCCTCAGGGTTTGTACTGGGATGAAACAAACTGTCTTTGGCAAAGTCTTGGAACTTGTTTTCAGGAAAGCTTCAAAAACCTTTGCTCACAGGGACTATAACTGCTTTAGCGTTCTGCACCATGTCCTTGCCATCAGACACATAAATCAGGAGTGCATCTATCTCCTTACTGCTAGCCCTTGGCATGATTGGTGGAGTGGGGATGCTGCCACACCAGAGCACGAGTCCAGCTTCTTGATGGTTTTGATGATTCTGTGACATTTAGAGATTTTTTCATGCTTAGGAATGGAGACCTTGACAGTCAAATAGAGCACAAAACAAGCATGTTTCCTCAAATAGGAACATTTTCCTCTTTTGTGTGCTGATGATAAGGAGTATTAAGGCATTTGTCATTTTGGCTGTATAATGCATTGTCGACTGAAGAGGCATTGAAATTTGACTTATAAAAATCCATATTGTGCGTTGAGAAGAGTAAATCAGCATTCATGTTCAACTGACCTAAGGTTTTAATCTAGCAACTGGTGGAGTCACTAGTGATGACAGTTACTTGTGGATGTCTGTCCATCTGGAACTGTGGAGAGAAAGCTGTGTCTTTAATTACTTTACCAAATACCATTCCTATGATATATTTTCAGAAAAACAAGTATTTCCCAAGCTGCATCTTAAATTTGGGCTGCAGCCTGATTCAAGTCAAAGTCAGGCTGAAGGATGTGTCAAACTTCCACCTTTCTTCTAACTTCTGTGGTTCTTCTAACTTTCTGCTGTGGTTTCCACAAGAAAGTGCAGGGTGGAGGGGAGCAGTGGCAGACAGTGGTCAAGGAACAGCACCTTAGCCTGCGCTCTGTGATGTGCTTACCAGAGTTTCCAGTTGTCTGTATAATTTGTTGTCACCTGGGTGAAATGCAGCTCCTCTGCCTGTGTTTTCCTCAGTTTCTGCAGTTGAGTCAGCAGAGAAGATGTGCCTGTGAAAGATACTAAAGAACACTTGAAACTGTGTTTTGTGTTTGAGACCATTAACATCCTGGCTGTTCAAGTGTTTTTTATTTGATGTATGCCTCAAGGGGTTCCTTCCATCCTCTTCTGCTTTCTGTACAGAGCAACAGCAGTTGTACTGATAACACAAATGCTTGTGTTTGTACGTATGCATATATGTTTTTCCAGGCATCACCTTTGCTCACTAGTTAATAAATTCCTTTCTGTTTTCCCTTGCAGCTGTCAGATTTCTGAGAGGTGTATTGCAGATCTGGGCCTCAACATTGCCAGCCTGGTGCTTCCAGACTATGAAATCATTGCACATCTTGATGGGTTGATTCACTCTCATCAGCATCACTGCTTCCCCTGTGTCTGCCTCAAAGATGTGGCACAGGCACCAGAGAAGCCCATGCAAAGAAACATACAGTTTCTTCACTGAAAGGAGACACAACAAAGTAAAATTTTCTTTTTCCTTCCTTATTTCTTCTGTCTACATCACAGACATCAACTTGAACTGTTTTTTAGTGTTTCAATAGGGAGACTGAGCCAAATAGATAGAGAAAAGCCAGCAGTATAGAGATGACCAACAGAAAATCCCTGCACAGCATAATAGTTCAGTTATGAAAATGATAGACAATACATGAAAAACACCCTTCAGTTCCACTGCAGAGGTATTGAAGGCATGGGCCACCTGAGGTCAGTTCACAGTTTTGGAACATACTTGGGAAGTGAATGAATGTCTGCTTCAGTGACATTCCTTGTGCTTTAGCTCTGGGTGACAGGGATGAAATAAAGTAGGGGTTGCCCTGCTGCTGTTCCTCTTGCCAAATGGGATGTCTTGCTGCATTTTTACACATAAGGACTTTAGCTTCAAGCCAGTTATCTGGAAGTTAGAGGATTATCTCAATTTTGGAACAAGAGATTACTTTTCTTCTGTTGTTTTCCTTTGCTCTTGTGGCAAACCAAAAAGTTTTGCTTCTGTGGCAAAGGCTCTCATAGGGTCCTGTCATGTGCCTGATGTGTATATTTTTAGTAAAATTGAACGTTGACCTTGGTCATGATGCCTTGAAAACTTTTCTTGTAGCTCCTATTCCTTGGTCAATTAATCCACAGGCCAGATAAGTGACAGTTCTTCTGAGTTAATGGAAAGTTATTTTAAAATGCTTGTCCACTACAGAAAATAGTCTTTACAAGTCATTATTTTCACAGAAGAGATGATGTGGTGTGATCGTAGATAGAGAGATGATTCTGTAGAATTACCTCTTAATCATAAAAACTGCTTGTCTATCACACTTTCTGAGTGTTGTTAAACTTAATGATTTTTAAAAGAAATATGAACAATAAATTTGTTTTAATAGCATACTCAGACTTGATGCTGTGCTTTTAGTTTTCTCTTCCCATTATGTATTTTGTATGGATGTGTAGAAGAGTAAAGAAAACTTACCTATTTATGTCTGACCATTTGTGAACTTTCTACAGTAGCTCAGCACATGATAACTCACTCACTAACACTAAACACTCTATTTTAAGAAAAATTACACTTTTTTCAAGTAAGACTGGTAATTTTGGTGTCTGGCTAGGGATTCAGAGCACAATAGCTTTTATTGCACTTGCTTCTGAAGAATCATTTCTCAATGACTTGTTACTGAAATAAAAAAACAAACACCCAAGCTTTTGCAAAATCAGTCATTTGAGGAGACAGGTTAAATCATATGTTCTTATGCTCCTGTGGCTACTTGGATTAAAACCAATTTCATTTCTTGTTTTATAATGTAACATTGTTTAGGAGGTAAGGACTTCAAACTGAAAGATAGCAGGTTTAGTTTAGACATTAGGAAGGAATTGTTTACTCTGAGGGTGGTGAGGCACTGGAACAAGATTGCCCAGAGAAGTTGTTTATGATCCATCCTTGGCAGTGTTCAAGGCCAGGTTTGATGGGGTTTGAGCAACCTGGTGTAGGGGAAGGTGTCCCTGCCCATGGCAGGGGGGCTGGAATTAAGTGGTCTGTAAGGTCTCTCCCAACATCAACTGTTCTATGATTGTATGATTGGTTTTTGCATGAAGTTTAATAAATGGAATGAAGAAAAAGCTAATACTAAATTATATAGACTTAAACTTAGGACAGCAACACCATTTTCAATGAAAGTAAAAGTTTGAAATGTAAATATTTTTAGACATTGTATTTTGGTTGGGAATTTAGAGGGTGGGAAAGGATGCAATAATTTTCTAATTCTTTGTGAGATAATACAGGTAGTTTCAGTTTGTGCTTACTGGCTCTATAGGAACTTCTGCTTGAGTTATTGCTGAGCAGCAAACCCCATTTTCTTCATGCGCATTAATAAATGTCATACAAAGTATGATTTACCATACTTTGCAAGTTAAGTAAATTGCATTACAAATTTAGGTCTATTCAGCCCAGATAATACATTCATAACTTTAATAAATAGTCACTGAGAGTGCCAATCATGAAGTAAGTTTGCATATTTGGCCAAATTTCATGGTTGTGAAATGATTTCCCAATGTCTGCCAGGAGACTTGAAATCTCCTGTCATGCTCATCAGCCATGTATCTTGCCACCCTGTGACCAGCCCTGGCACCAGCAGTGAAGTTCCAGCCCCACAGAATCCACCACCAAAGTTCTCCAAATTACTTCAGAGGAGGCAGATTTTCACAATAACAATCCTTGATTACTTTGAATGAAACGTGCTTGCATGGTAAGCCAACAGAAAGTATAATAAGGGTTTTCTAATGACTTTTTAGAAATTATTTACTCAGTAGATCTGTAATTTCTGAAATATTAATGCTCATCATGTTCATAAAGGAATATGCTCTCTTATCTGACTATTAGTAGTCCCAGTATTTGCTTTATTTTTGAAAGAGTACTGACATCTTTCTTCATTTAGCCAAAGTAAATAAATAAATAAAAAAAGTAAAGAAGTAATTTGACATGAACAAAGTTCAGGTGATTTGTGACCCGTGTAATTTAATTAACCCCTGAACAAAGTTTAAACTGACTTGCAATCTTTTTTTAAGATTTGTTTCATGCAGCATTGAAGTTAGTCTTTTTTTTCTGGAAAAAAAGACCAACAAAACAAAACCAGGTTTATGAATGTTTTCAACCTCTGTTTCAAATGTTTTCTTCTTGTTTTAAACCAAGATGCATTCAACACAAGACAGGTATGATAGAAACCTGGAAATGTGTAATACTTGTCTCAGCAGACACTGCTCTTGCAATAGATTATTTTTACTGGGTTTGTGCTTATTAATAAAAGGTGTGGGATTAAGAATTTGCTATCTGTTCATAATTACTCTTTTATTGTAGTAAAGGATTCTTGATTTATCAACAGAATGCATATTGAAATAGAAGGAATATGAGTTAGATCGCAGAGCAGTACAGTTATAGAGCTACTTTTTTTCCCCCAAACAACAGCTGAACCAACTCCAATGAAGGCAACTTCACTACGAAGCCTTAAGGCAAAACTCAACAAATTAAAATGTTGCAATTGTAGATATGGAAATGAAATAATTTAGATGCCATTATCATTGTAATAATAAAATCACAAAGAAAATAGACAAATGAGTGTGATAATGTTATGAGTGTACTAAAATACATACAACTGTATGGAAAAGAATGGAAAGAATATTCAAAGATAATCATTTTGAAATGAAAGATTTCAGATTCTTTTATTTTGTCAAAACAAGTAAGAATCTCCTACAGCAATGCTTATTTTTTTTTCTCCCAGAAAAGGAGGATGAGTTTATTAGATTGCATTCATAATCACTGAGGAATAATTGAGTCAGAAATGAAAAAATCTACAAGGAACGACAACTTGTTTGAACAAAATAGAGGACTTTTCTGACAGTTTTAAAGTCAGCTAATGAGCCTTGAGACAAAGAACAACACTGATTTTCAGAAGGGAATAAATAAAACAGTTGAGCTATGGTTTTTTCATCCCCCC